AATAATCTTATTATTATTATTGAGGAAAAATTGGTTTATCTTTTAAAAATTAAATGATTGAATATTGGGATGTGTGTCCTAGAAATCAGACTAATATGATTTTCACTTTGTGCTCCCAAAACAGGTTATAAAACAAGAGAAATGCTCCCTTCTGTTTCTCTTTAAGCAAAATGGTGATTTGCTTTGATTTCTTTCTGAATGTGGAGCTTCCTTAGGCAGCATCTCTCCTCCTGCGCCCAATATGTGGAACTTGTTCTTTAAGCCCCTTTGATTAATTTCAATGCTGATATTTGCCAGGCTACTGATACTAATGTAATCCTATTGAAAGAGAGCTTCTCCCAGGTTTAGTAGCATTGGTGTAAAACTGTAATGTACCCTGGGAAAAGACTTCCAGGCTTTTGATGAAAAAATGATGAATGATATGAACCATGAATGCACTCATGTTCCATTTGCCAATGTAAACCAAGTGAGGAGCAGTGGAATTTAACATATGGAAAGGCAGTAAGCTGGATAAACTTTAAATTTGGAAGGCCAATCTTGTTCATAAATTTCAGCTCCAGAGATTCTCTGCCAAAACTTAAGCTTCAGCAATGGATCATTGCTCAGCTTGCTCAGCTTGTGCCAAATGTAGAGACACTTGAAATCCCCTTTGTGAAACAAAATCATACCAGGCCCTCAGCCAGTGTTTTGATTGCTTAGTAATTTGCAACTAATGTCATATAGTTTGAGGGAACTTTGGGAATAATTATACAACTGCTGCTCGGGGTAGGATCTGGGATGCACGATTCATAGTGTCCCTGACAGAGATGGCTGCTTAGCCTTTGCTTATATTGTATATGTGAAGAGGACGACCACCACACCCAAGATTGCCTGTTATATAGCTGAACAGCTCTCAGCCAAACCATGTTTACTCCCAACGTCTAAATGAAATCTGCTCCTTGCTTTTTCCCCCCTCCGTTGATTTTAGTCACACACTGGAGCAATCTAAAATAATTCTGTTTCATTTTCTGGAAGGAAACTACAATCGTCATTCCCTTTTATCTTCTCTTTTTAAGCTCTTTTAACTGTTTGTCATGGGCCTTCTGTTTTTCCTGCTTTTCTGGGGATGTTCTCTGATAGATATATTCGGAAAAATCTGTGTTCAGATTCTTCTTTTAGGGCAGTGGGGGATTCAAATGGTTAACAATATCATAAAATAAAACTCAAATGTAGCATTTAACTAATAATAAAGTTAATAAGCTATACTGACAAAAGACATTTTGTTGTATCACCATGGCAACAAAAAGGATTTCTGAAATGCACTTTCAAAAGTTCAATTCATATAGTCAGATCTGAGCTTAGAACCAATGTCATAGTGACTTCATAATCTGGAAGTAATGCCTTTCCAGCTGAATCAAAATAATTTCAAAATTAATAATACAGATACAGTTAAAATGAAATTAACTCAGTTATAGAAAATGCTCTATTTCAGGTCATTAAGTCAGAGTGCATTTCAGTCATTTCTCTCACTGGGTGTGTTTTAACCAGCAGCTTTACAAAGCCTCTTAGAACCACAAGGAAGTGGCCGTCTTGGTTAATTTAACCAATTTTTCCTTGCTTTCCATCAGACACTTTGATTCTTTGTCTATACAGACAAGCGCTTATCTTTCCCACCGCCCCCTCTTTTGCCAGCCTGCATCCACAGTCCATTCGCTGAACTGTTGCCTGGAGGAAGGGAAGAAATCTTGATTTCCACATAAACCCATGAAAGAAAAAGGAAAGGAATCACCCATGAACTTCTGCAGTAGAGGGCTCAAACTTAGCTCTTCCTTGAATATTAATTCAGTAAACAAAAAGTCTACCAGACATTAGAGTAAAATCATACTGATGCCAAAAATCCACCCGTGTTGCAAAAGGCTGAAAGCTCCACGTAAGGCAGTGGCTTCTGATGTTCCATCCAAATTACATCTAGTATAATTTTGTGTCCAAGGAAATATCAACCAGTTGCTTTTGGTATAGACCTGTAACCCTTCAGATGGTCTTGTTCTGGAACTTCAGTTCCAGCAGTCTTTTGTCCAACAGATTCCCGCTTCTGTCTCTGACTAAGAACTTAGGTTTCCTTCTATAAAGGATGAGACACCATAAGATGATCAGTGCACTCCTTAGGCCCACTATTGGTCAGTTAAATTTACAGCTGCCTTTCCCAGCATTCATGACTAAAAGTTAGGATTAAGACTAGGGGTAGAAAGATGTTTAAGAGAAACAACCAACCAAAAAAACAGAGTAGTAATTGTTTGTCAAATGAACATTTTGTTGGCTCTGCACAATAAAGTCTATATTCACAGTCATTTTCCATATCCCTTTAATTTAGTTGATGCAAACTTTGGTCCAAAATTATCTCTGTTTCACAGTTTCACTTATGTTGCTGCCATGTAACCTTAAGAAAATTACCAAGTGAACTCACAAAACTGACAATTCACTAAGCAAAAAACAATAGAAAGCAGTGGGGCTTTGATCCACAGTTATGCCCACCATTTTGGACCCCTTGGTTCCCCTGTTGTGGAAGCCTCTGCCAGGTATTGATTCAGAATGACCTGTGTGTAGTTTGCTGGATCTTCCTTTTACCCCTTTTTGAAATTAGACAGAATATTTATTCTCCTCCAGTCAACTAGCACCTTTGCCATTATTTCTCAAAAATAATACATACTGTACGGGTTCAGCCAGACCATCAACTAGTTTCTTCAGTGTTCTTGGAAGCAATTCATTTAGTTCAGGAGATGTTAATGCATTAAAAGTAGAAGAGTATTCCCTGATCATGTTTCTATTAAGCTTTAATCCCACTTCTTCAATTTGCACTTCTCTGGCATACAAATTAAACAAACAAACAACAAATAAATACCTGCCCTTCATAATTTCCTGGTGGCACATATAGGTATTTTTTGTTGGAGAAGACTGAACCAAAATAGACATTGAAAGGTTCTGCTTTTCCTTTGTTCCCTGGTAGCGTTTTGAACTCTTCAATGAACAACTACTATACCAATTCTTTTTCTTTTCTTTTGAAAATATCTAAAGCAGCTCTTTTTTTAGTATCAGCTTTTGCTTTCAGCTCTACAGTTCTAGACTACCTGTCTCTCCTCTCCTTCCTTCAGTTAGCTGTAGGGAAAGATGGGGCAGGGGGTGGTGAAGTCTAGCAACATTATAGGTACTGATAAGTTACTGGTGAGTATTATATAAAACAGTCTGTGGGCTATAGAGTTCCTCCCTTTATATAGTCAAGAAATACATATGAGAGTTCTTGCTCCACCAGCCCATTTTGTGGAGTGAAAAAGTGTCTTTAAGTTCACATACCTATGAATATAATATGATCACTTGTGTAATCTATTGGGTTATTTCAGAGCCAGTTATGTATCTCTGCAGGCAAACGATCTCAAAAATATGGCATGTTATAAAATCTTCTTCTAAGTAACAAAGTGGGTAGTTTGTTAAATTGGTATAGTTTCCTTTGTAACAAAAATAGGTCTTTAACCAAATTATAAACATGTATCTAGCTTGACAGAGGACTTGCTTTTTCTGTCTTTCAGTGCATATTTGTGCATTGGTAAGATTGGTGGTTGAAAGTAATTGTGACAGAGACCTTTTTTAAAAAATGCGTTTTTGATTAACTGAATTGACTAGTCTGCCTTTTAAAAAGCATATCCCAACATGTTCTAAGATTGTTGATGGAAGACAAATATATTTGCAGATAAATCATTGATATTCTGTACTTTCTGACTTCACTCCCACCTTCCACTCATAAGACCTAACAGAATCTCTTTTTTTCTCCTGGATCATATCATTCTAAACATCACATAGTTTTTTCCAAAGCTCATCTCTGGTTCGTCCATTATCACCATTTCCTGGAATGTAACATACAGCTATCACCAGCCTATCAAATCCTATTTTCATTCTTACCCACAAGAACTCAGGTTACACTAACTCAAACTTTTTGACATTTTAGCCCTTTCATTCATAATGAAACTTACGTTGTTATTCTCTGCATGTATTCATCAACTACACAAGATCAGACCACCTCCATTCAAATCTGCTGCATCCCTCCCCTTTCTCTTATTATAGACACACAACATTTCCAAGTGGTAATATCTTTCATATAGACTTGGTTGCCAGCCTTAGTCATACCTGTGCCATATAGCGCATTCCCTGCTAATGGTAAGGTCAGTGTGGCTCATTTTGGCCATTATGCCACAAGCACAACCAAATCCAGGGGTACTCATACTATTTTATGCAGCCTTGGATCTCTAATCTAGGGGGTACTTTGCAAGCCAACAGACAGTTGCCTGCATTCCACCAACTTATTGGTACATATTATGTACTGACATAAGTTCAGATGTCTTTTCTGAGTAGACAAATATAGACATAATAGCTACCACTCAGAATTACATGCACAGCTTGCAGGCTCCAGACACAGCTGGAAAAAGATAGAGAGGGTTTTTTTTGTTGTTGTTCATATCTTGTTTAAGGTATTATTATTCCTCTTCCTGCTCTATTCATTTCAATGAGATTGAAGAAAAAACTTGTTGCTACAAATAATAGAAACACAGAATGTGAAATAGAGATGCAAACATTGAATGGTCTAAAGGAAATGTGAGTTCAAACACTTATGTTAACATACATTAGACACATCCACCCAAGAGTAAAAAAATATATGCCTTCCACCAGCTAGTTTATTAATAATCTCATAAAAGGTTGTTATGGGTAATGCAAGGGGGAGCACTGGTCAGACATCATTTTTCTTTCAGATTTTCTGGCAAAGGTAGATTTCTGAAGCACTAATATTGGGTGAGAAATCAGGTACAATCAAAGGTAAAGACTTACAGGACTATCTCTTCTCACCTAATGTCCATAACTCGGGTAAAACAATCCTGAATGCCATTGCTTTTTGATAACCACTTGTTCTTTGTGGAAAATCCTTCCTTCCTCTCCAATCCCTCCTCTGATCCTTTTGTTGTATGTTCCCCCCACAGCATGTGATTGCCATCCCGTGGGTGCAGCTGGAAAAACCTGTAATCAAACTACAGGGCAATGTCCCTGCAAAGATGGTGTGACGGGCATCACTTGTAACCGATGTGCCAAAGGCTACCAGCAAAGCAGATCTCCCATTGCCCCCTGCATAAGTAGGTGGATGCTCTTTTTGACATCTATACCATAACATAATTAATCCTGAGTCTGGCTTGTTTACTAACACCTAACTGGATAGACTCAGTTTTATTTAGACAGTGTTTGGCTACTCATGCATAACAGTATTCATGGATGTTATTGATATATACTGTGATCCCCGTAAAATTGTGATTTTTCAGAGAGATCTCTGAGGCAACATGCAGGGGAGAGCAAAAGCCAATAGCAAAAAAAGGACCTACTGTATATGAATTTGGAAATCACACTGGATTTACTAGATATCCTCTAATGTAGACTCATTAAAGGTGTAATGTGTGCAATAGCTGCATTGTGATCCTTTTCATTCACTTTATGCATAAATGTAGGGTGAGGTTATATATACACTAGTTACGTGATCTGAGTGAAAACTAGTGACCACTTATGTAGAAGGTTTGAAGGTTAAGATGTGATGTTCTGAATGGCAGAATATGTTTACTACTTTCGGTCTTCCCACTAGCTGTAAACTGCTGCTGTTGTTACTTAACACCTCAGGTAAGATACAGATAAAAGTATTAAACTGCCTGACGTCCATCATTGTTAAGAACTATTATCGAACCAAAACATTGCAGCAAATTGTGAAACTAAAAACCTAGTCTGACAAAGCTAATGCAACTTAGAAAGTGGTCTCCTTTTTAAACCGGATTTTTTTTTCCTTTGCTTTGGTATATTTCACATCAGTCTCTCAACTTAATGCACATTTTGTAAAACAGCAATGGTAGTAGCCTCCAGTTCTAATTCTGCAAAATCCCCTATCTCATGGCTGATACGTATATAAATAATGAATCTGTCCTAACTTGCTTACATATTATTGCTTTCAGATCTATTTTAACAGTGGAGCGGAGTTGATGGCTACCTCTATGAGGTGGCTGTAACTTAAAGATATATGCATTCATGGATGTAGCTGTGTAGTCTTCTGGGGATATCCCCTTTCAGTTTACAGAACTCACGGATCCCCAAGGCCTTTGTTCATGTGCGCACGTTACATGGAATAAAGCCTGCAAAGGAAAATCCAGTCATGCTCCACTCTGCACCTAAGTGAAGATGTTGCTTTCTGCTTTAGAGTGTCTGTCATTTCATATTAGTGAGAACCAGTTCCCAGATCACTTTTTCCCAGGTGGGAGCTCACTGAGTGACTTTGGAGCAATCACTGTCTCTGAGCCCAATTTACTTCACAGAATGATGGCTGATAGGAGCATAAAATGAGAGGAGAACCCACATGTGCCTCTTAGCTTCCAGAGTTATATATAAATTTAGTGGTCTAGGACTTAATTATATCCAGTTACACGTACAGGAGAAAATAAAGTAGTACACTTGGGAGTAACAGGGAGTGAAGAAAAACCTACTTTGTGCACCTGACTCCGGTAGGACTAGATGTGAGAATCCAGGCTTTTTTATCCCTTTATCACCATGGCTTCATCCAGATGATGATCGCACTGCTACTAGTGGCTATTGTGACCAAACCTTGGGAACTGGGTTCTTTTTTTATACTTAGGTAAATATTGGTTGTTGCCATGAATAAGTGAGGAAGCTCCAATGGCCAGATTATTATAGAAATGTAAAAAACCCTAAGAAACAAAATGGATACTTATTAATTGTGTTGCATATGTACTAATTGCAGTAGAATAATGAAAGCATTGGCAATTCCTGTTAACTTTTTTTCCCTGCAACCGCTGCTACTGTAATCAGATTTATTGTGGTGTAGTTCTTAACAATGTTGCACTTGGACATGGCTATGTTGATTTTTAAGAAATGTTGTCATAAAGAGCCAAACACAATTGTAGCAACTTTGAAAAACAAAAAGGGATCAGAAAACATTTATTTCATCTTGGCTTTAACACAGAAAAAAGAGATCATGGTTGAAAGAAACAAGTCTTTGCTGGAGACCCAAAACAAATTCTTAAGATGCATTTCTAATAACCTGAAATATGTATCCCAAAATATACTCTGATATTGTTGTTTAGATGAAGGTATGTAATGCCACTGTTTTCCTGATGCTAAGCAGACATGGCTACTGCCTGAATGGAGGAACCATACTTTGTCTTGTGCTCCTTGAATACCACTGATTAAATTCACTATCATGACCATCAGATGTACTTTGCTGAAAATATCTTCAAGTGCTTATAGTGTAATGAGGGACAATCACTAACATAGTTTTGTCATAATGTTATTGTCCATCTGAGAGCTGGGTTAATAATGGGAAAAAAATCTGTGACCAAAGGCCCCAGAGAGTAGGAAACTTATATAATAATGTTATTGGAAGGAGTATAAGATTTTCAAATGGCTATCTTTCCCTTTGGGATTTGTTGCTTTTAGCTGCAAAAGATTAACATAGTGAACTCTCTAGGTGAAGCAATTCATTGTTACAGTCACTCCATATCAGTTAAACATATCTTTAAATGCAAATCTAATTTTAGTTCAATTCAGCCCAATGGTTGTACAAACAGTACAGTTCTACTCATAGTTTTATTCATTCTAAAATGAGATATGAGGCATTTGGGGAAAGGTGGACAATAGGATTCAAGAACACTGTCCTTAACCCATTTATTGTTCTTTCAATATATATTATTCAAAGTACAAACTGCAGATGCATTCAGTTTGTGAATAAACTCTATACTCTACCAAAAAGCACAGTACATCTTGGATGTACATGATTTCTCTACATGAAAGATAATCAGCATCTAGAAATTAAAATAATAGCCAGTGGACATGAACCCAATCTTTCCTTTCATGTTGGAATGGATCAAGTTTTTAGATCTCTCCCAGCTGATGCTAACTTTACTGATGGAAAGACAGATAAAAATCTCTCTTTTTTTCTTCTTCAGAAAGACAGCTATTTTAAGTACTGCTGATTTTGTTTAGGGAAATGGTATGAAAGGGAACAATTAGTCCCTGAAATGCTACTTCCCCATCAATTTAGACTACTCTCAGAACTGCTATAAAGGGGGGGGGGGAAACTTTTAGTAATGGAACCTCTAAATTGCATCCAATGAATGGGCCTCACATTCATAACAAGGATTTTTTTTTTTACAAATTCCTAGAAAAAGGCATGATTCCTGGAAATGTGGGTGTTGCTTTCAACTGGTGTATTCATGGATGTATATCAAGATTAACATAGGTGTTGCTACTATTTGCTATGATAGCTAGGTGGCAGCCTATCCTGAATGTAATTTTTTGTGGATGGTGATGGAAAATTATGGAACAAAGCTGAACAAATGTCCATATACACAGTTATGGATTAGCTTCTCCACCACAGTGTGGTTCAGTCACCCTGTCACTTCTATGAAATGATGATTTTTGCAGTCATCTATCTAGCAGTATAAAATTGCACAATTCCTTAGCTAGAAAATAATACATGTCCTTATTTGTTTGTTCTTTTTTCTGTCCGCTTTCTCTTTTCACCCACAGAGATTCCTGTTGTTCCTCCTACCACTGTGGCCAGCAGCACAGAAAAGCCTGCAGGTATACTATTATTGTTGTTGTTATTTTACTACTATCATCATATCACCGTCACCACCACCATCATCATTAAATGTGCTTAATCAGAAGGGTGTGGTATCTAAGTATGGTTAGGCTGTTCAACGGTTTGCTAAAACCGTCTGCCCTCATGACAGGATATGCTACTAAAGAATATAATAAGTATGTAATACATATATCCCATTTCCTAGAGTATGTAGATCTGTGGCCAGGGATGATGCACCTCTGTCTATAGCCTGAGTTAGGAAAGTGTCAATGACTTAAAATATGGCAAGCTGTCTTTTACAAGGCTCCCAAGAACCAATCAGATCAGTCTGAAGCACCAAGTTTATCTAGAAAGGCCTATCCAGTAACTTGGTTTTTGTTATAAGGTTGTTTACTATAAAGCTGTCAAGGAGAGAGAAGTGATTTATAAGCAAAGTCAGGGTTCACACAAGGTTATTCTAACAATCTGCTGAGATGTAGGAAGTTAACAAGGAAGGCTCAGTATTGGTTAGGGTTTCTTTTCTTTTTATGTGACTATGACATGTAGGATATATGTGTGCTGTCACTTAATATTATCAAGGTTTGAGAAGTCTGAGTAGCAGTAGCAGAGCTTTTGTAAATATACATATTACCTATAGCTTGCCAACCTTGGAAACAGGAAATGCAGGACATTAAGGATTGGAACCACCAGCCAATGGGCTGATTATTGTCTGTAGAAGTTCCCCATTTGTCTCACTAGCATTTTCCTTTGCCATCATCAACTTATACCTCAAACTCAGTCTCTTTCCCCAGGCCAGGAAAATGGAAAGGTTCTGGAGATAAGAGAACTTTTCCCATTACGAAGGCTCTAAAATAGTAAATAGACTGGTTCCATTATATGAGTCATTTCAAACAAAACCTAAATAACTTCCACACATGATAATGGAGGGACTTTCTAAAATGTTTTGTTGTCATAAAGGGATGACGTTTCCAAGGGAATGATTGCTGCTGGGAAGGGAAAAACTTAGTTCTCTCCTTCTCCAAACTGTCAGTTCTCCTAAAAAGGTTTCCCTATACGCTGAAAATAGATGTTATAACAGACCCTTTTATGTATATGGAAGATGTTTTAAAACTTAATTACTCTGCAGAGGAGAGGGGATTTTCAGAGTATTCATATTTCGGTTCAGAATAGGCTAATACTGTAAGACGTGTTTTTGTCTATGTGTGTATACATTTTTATTTACATAATTCAGAAAAATAATCAGATCTACTTGCTCTGTAAGAACCTTTCAAAAATCCATATTTTATTGCTTGTGGCACATTGGGTTCCAGTTCATCCAGGTTAAGGGTGTGGAATCTTCTGCTCTACATCTCCCAGAATCTTAGGCAACTATAAAGAATGCTGGGAATTGTAGCTCAGAAACATCTGGACAACCACAAGTTCCTATCCTGTTCTAGGAATACCTATGGTATGAAGGATTGCTGACATAAGCATCTGTAGAGGGATCCAAGGGCGCAAGAGACAAATGTGCATTGTCATGTTGTGACACAAACTCTACCACTTATATACTCGTTGGTAATAAATAGTAATAAAGTATAAAAGGGCAGAGCTTGTGTGGTGACATAATGACACGTATTTTGTCATTTTGGCAGCATTCTGGATAGGAGCAGATGCCTACAGTTGCTTAATGGTTTTGGCTTAAATGGGAGATTGAACGGTTGGATTAGATGCTTATTAGAAAGGGGTAGACAATGCATAGCCCTGTTGATAATTTTGCATACCCTAGGAGCCACTTCTCATTTGCTGCTGAATCATGTGGCTCCTCGCTTACATCACTTTTTTGTTGTTGAAGTGTCCAAACACTACGAAACAATGGCAGAAAAAATCTACATATTATAAAAAATAAGGCTAACCAAATACCCAAAATTCTGTCCTAATTTCTCCCAGTCCTTTACCCATTGTTGCAAGCCCTACCTGCTTTTGTGTGGGGGCCTTAGTCAACAAAGCTTGTCTCATTAATTCCTATTTCAATTTAAATAACTTCAGTGATGTAAAATTATTGTTCCAAGTGAACAATATGGTGCATGAACCATGTTATGAAATCCAGCATGAGTTTCCTCCTTATGATACTCATGAATCTTCTCTTGTATCTTTTTTATGCAATTTTTTTTTTTTAGTGCCAATTTTTCTGCTCATACATTTTTTCCTGAATATAAAGTTACCATTGTTTAAAAAGCCAGTGTGGATACTCTAAGCAATCAGTGGAAATATTAACTGGAATTCTTTTCAGTGTTGTGGAGTTAGGGTTTCCTGTACATCTTATCATGTCCCTAACATTTCCAACCAAGTTAGGAGTAAAATATTGTGAGATATGGTCTATTTTATCTTGTCTATTACAATGCTTCATTTGCAACAGCTGGGATACAATGCAATTACGCAAATGCATCAACTGATCAGAGCTGGACAGGACAACAGGCCAGAGAACAAATTGTAGGGAACATTTTTATTTTGTCTCTAGAGATTGACTGACCTTGGACTTTATTACCTACTTTTGTAGTTCAAAAAATGTGTAATCAGTCTGTACATGAATGGGCAACTTCGGTCTTATGCTTGTTTTTTGGTAAAAGTCCCACTTACTTCACTTGGCTATTCAAGCTTGTAAAAATTGTAGCCTAAATTTTTTTTTACAGGGACTTAATTTAAAAAGGTCAAAGGCAAAGGTTAAATTTAGTTTCAGAATTCAAGATAAAAAGACTAGTTCTGTTTTATTTTAGAAGTCTTTGGTTATTGATATCCTCCTTGATTATCCAGTCATAAAGGGATAGCAGGGTAATAAATAAATAATTCTGGTAGGGAATCTTAATACCAGGGGTGGGCAATCAGAATAGTTTAGCTGGCAAAACATTAGGACAGAGGTAGATTATTATTTCTCCTCCTTTCCAAGGGACAGTGGAATCTGCTTGAAAAAGTTTATCTGTAACATTAGTTACGGTTTTTTAAAGGAGAGATATCGTGTAGACATGATCAATGATGTTATATTCTTCTGCCAATGACAATACTGCAGTAGACCACAGAATCATAGAACTGTGGAATTGAAAGGGACCCAAAGGATCATCTAGACCAACTCTTTGCAATGTACGGGAATACCAATTAAAATATAATTTTAATAATATAATATATAATATAAAATATCTTTGAGCCCAGCCTCTTTTTAAAAATCTCCAGAGATGGACAACCCACAACCTCTGACGATCTTACTGTTGTACAGATTTTGCCATCAGGATTTTTTTCTTAATATTTAAACAAACACTAGGTAATTGTACTTGTTATTAATTATCTTAATTTCTGTGGCAATGAAAAATCACACCTGACTGTTTTCTCTATGGAATTCTTTTATGGAACTGAATGTTTTCTCATCCCAAGTTCTTTCAGCCTGTCCTCACAGGGCATGTCCTCAAATCCCTGCATAATCCATGTCACCCCCTTTTCCTGTTCTAATCTGTAAGAGGTGTGGTGCCCAGGTGTGATATCACTTGTGCAAAGTCGAGGGGAATCACACATCTTTGAGGTAATGTTTCTTCAGATGCAGCCCAGAACTGCATTAACCTTTCTAGAAGCTATTTCACACTACTGTCCCACGTTTATCTTGATGTCAATGATCACATCCAAATCCTTCCCTGATATAGTGCTTCTAAGCCATGAATCCCCCTCTTGTATGTGTGCCTTACATTTTTCCTCCCTACATGTAATACTTTACATTTCCCCCTGTTGAAGGACATCTTGTTCCTGTCAGCCTAGTATTTTAACCTCTCTAGATTAGATTTCAATCTAATTCTGTCATCCTCAGTGCTGGCCAGACCTCCCAATTTCGTATCATCTTCACATTTGATAAACAACCCATCATGAAATAAGCAAATAAAAATAATAATTAAAATGTTGAATAATATTGTCCTCAAGACAAATCTCTGGAGAACCTCACTGAATTACCCTTTGTAGATTTTAGCTAATTCCGTCAGCAATTTTAGAGGACAAATTTGCCAAAACCATTTGTGATTCTCCCTATGGAGATTAGATAAAATGGAAGATTTATCATTATTCATTCAAACTGTTCACCTCAGACATTCAAGAAATGTTTCTTCCTAATTTGCCTTAGAAATATTCCAGTGGATCCATGCTTTACACAGACCTCTCAGGGTTTTAAGATACTTAAAAGAGCTGCAATCATTGTCATGTTACTAGCAAAGAAATATATTAGTTGACCAAGAAATGCTCCTGTCAATGGAGTATTTATCATCACTAATTATCATCATGTTTTATGATGGCTGTGGCTGAACAATATAAAGGTTGATTGAATGGTTACAAAGTACTTTGCAGCCCTTATTTTCATGAAACAACAAACCATACTAAGATTCCAAATATTACTCAGGCTGCAATAGAGAGAATATCAAAGCATCTCAGCAACTTCTTGTTTATTGTCTGTCCTATTACTGTCCGGAATTCTGTTCAGTAAGCTTACATCATCTCCTTGCTTTCAACAAGGATGTTTCACAATAGGACTTCTTTACAATGAAGGAAGCTAAAGGTCATGCCAGAGGTTAGAAGGCACCCATCAGGGGTTCTGGCTTGCTGTCAAATACAAAGCAAAGGTTTTTGCACCTCAGTCTTTGGGCTTGAGCCTTTTCTTTCTACTTCCATTTTGTGCACTGACATAGCTACTTTGCTACAATAGGACCTCTTGCCAGAAGCTGGAAGGCAAGGAAGAAGGTAGGGGTGCCCCTGACAACTGAATTCCATTCTCCTCCCCAGCACCCCTGTGCAAATTATTTTTTAATTTGAATTTTAAGTAGATTGTGCAATTTTATATGCCTCTTTCCTTCTATTCCATATTATTATTCTAACGCCAAATTGTTTTGGCGTGCTTTGGAGTGAAGTGAGATCACATTTGATGCTGAAATAAATCATTTCATTTTGTAAAATGAGAGGACTTGATTGTAGACTTCCCCTCTTTTCTCCTCTAGAT